TGAGAGTATTTCAGGCATGGAAAGCCAAGACACTCTGTGAAAAAAAATGACCTAAATGAAAGATCTCTGCGAGTGAGATCCCAGTGGAAAGAACAGGTCATCAGAAGAAGGAGGTACCTTTCTCTGAAGGTAGGAGGGAACTTCTACTTTGACTACGACCTTGTCTAAATATGATGAAAGTTAGCGAACTCAAAAGGCTTCCATTGCCTTGGCAACTCATGACAAGAGCCTAGGGTGATTACTGACGACATAAACAAGAGTGTTAAATTGTTAAGTCAAGAGTAGGAGTCACTGTGTACTTACTCCTCATGTAGGATCTCTGTCCTTAATGTGCTGTACATTGTGATTTAATGCTATAACTAGTACTCAAACAGTATTTTTCACTTTGTGTTTCTATGTGTGTGCAAACTGATGAAATCTTTACTTAATATATGCTAAACTGATCTTCTGTATATAAAGAGAATTGAAAATGAATCTTGATGTGAATGGAAGGGGAGGGGGAGTGGTAAAGGGGAGGGTTTCAGGTTGGAGGGAAGTTATGGGGGGGGGAAGCCATTGTAATCCATAAGCTGTACTTTGGAAATTTATATTCATTAAATAAAAGTCAAAAAAAAGTGATAGAGAGATAGAGATTGATTTAACACACCCAACTTGGGTGTCCTCTTGGACACTCCGCTCACCCTAGAATACTGAATAGGACTCCTTGGCCATACCCAGCACATGCCTCTGTGTATTCACTGAAAGAGCTGACCCTTCATTAAGCCACAGAGGCATAGTCAAAGGATAAAAACCATCACAATGCAAAAAAGAAAACCGAACATGTATCTCCACACCTGCCTAAAAATAAACACAGCAATTCAAGAAACAAGAATAAGGAAGAGAACTTGACGCCTCCAAAGGAACACAACAACACTTCAATACTAGAATGTAAAAATGAAGAGACTGAAGAAATGTCAGAAATAGAACTCAAAAATTGATCACAGCATTACTTAGAAGTAATCAGAAGCAAATCCACAAATTAAAGAAATCCATATATGACATGAGTGATCATTTTTCCCATGAAATTGAAATTTTAAAGAGCAATCAAAATGAAATATTGGAAATAAATAGTTCAATAGATCAAGTAAAAAATGTGGTGGAAAGCCTTAACAACAGACACAGTGAGGCAGAAGAAAGAATACCCTAGTTAGAAGACAAATCTCTGGTAATTTCAGTTAGACCAAAAAAAAAAAAAAAAAAAAGAGGAAGAAATTAAAGAACTAAAAGACAGTATTGGAGACTTACGGGACAGTATCAAGCGACCCAACATACGGGTCTTAAGAGTTCCTGGAAGCGTGGACAGAGGGAATGGATTAGAAGGTTTTTTTAGTGAAATAATTACAGAAAACTTTCCTAATTTGGAGAAAGAAAGGGACATCCAAGTATAGGGGACACATAGAACTCCTAATAAGACATGAACAGAAAAGATCCTCACCATGACACATTGTAGTCAAACTCTCCACAGTAAAACATAAAGAAAATATTCTAAAATGTTTAGGAGAGAAACACCAGATTACATTCAAGGGATCTCCAATTAGAATCACAGCTGACTTCTCATCAGAAACCCTACAGGCTAGAAGAGAATGATGAGGAATATTCAAGTCATAAGAAAAAAAAACTGTCAACCCAGAATACTGTACCCTGCAAAGCTCTCATTTATGAATGAAGGTGAAATAAGGAACTTCCATGACTAACAGAAATTGAAAGAATTTGTCACCACTTGTCCAGGCTTACAAAAGATGCTTAAGGATGTGTTGCACATAGAAACACAGAAACATGGTCATCACTATGAAAGAAGATGAAGGCAGAAGATCTCACAGTTAAAGTACAAAGGAAATCCAAAGTGAACAATAGTAATATTTATGGAAAAATGGGAGGGCCAAGTTGTAACTAATCAATACTCACCTTGAATATAAATGGTCTCAAGTCTTCAGCTAAAAGATAAGGACTGGCTAAATCGATTAAAAAACAAAACCCTATTTGCTGACTACAAGAAACACATCCTACCAACAAAGATACATGCAGACTGAAAGGGAAAGGATGGAAAAAGATATTCCATGCTAACAGAAATCAAAAGAGTTGGTTTAGCCATCCTAACATCAGACGAAATAACCTTTAACACAAAAACTATTAAAAGAGACAAAAAAGGGCACTATGCAATGATTGAGGGATCAGTTCACCAGGGAGATGTGACTATAATAAATGTAATAAATATAATAAATTATAATAAAATATAATAAATGACCTAATTACAGGTCACCTGGCTATTTAAAAGAAATGTTAATGGATCTAAAGGGAGACAAGACTCCCATACAATAGTAACGGGGGACTTCAGTACCACACTTTCAGCAACTGGACAGATCAACCAGACAGAAAATCAGCAAGGAAACAACAGAGTTAATCAACACTATAGATCAAATGAACCTAACAGATATCTAGAGAACTTTCTATCCTACAGCCACAGAATACACATTCTTCTCATCAGTGCTTGGGACTTTCTTTAGGATAGACCACAGGCTAAGCCATAAAGCAAGTATCAGCAAATTCAAAAAAGTCAAAATCATACCATGCATCTTTTTTGACCACAATGGAATAAAGCTGGAAATCAACAACTCAAGAATCTCTAGAAAATATGCAAACATATGGAGACTGAACAACATGTTCCTGAATAAACAGTGGTCATGGAAGAAATCAAAAGAAAAAACACTGTTGAGGAACAGTTTTTTTTTTTCATATTATTTGTTGAACTCTTAGTATAGAGTTAATCTTTTGTGCATAAAGTTAATTGAAAATAGATTTTAATAAAAAATAAGAATGGGAAAAAGAGAGGGAGGAGGGAAAAGGGTGAGAGGGTGGGTATGAAGAAAAGAATCACTATGTTCCTAAAGTTGTATCTATGAATCCATTAAGTTTGTATACCTTAAATAAAAATTTTCTGGGGAAAAAAAGAATGGACCAAATAGCAACAAAAAAGAAAAGAAAAGAAAAAAAAGAAAAGCAAAGCAGTGTCTTTGCACAAATTTAATGAATATATCCAGGATATAATATTAGAATGGAATCTACATTTCTTTAATTAATGAGGCTTATTGAGATATAGTCCACATACCATAAAATTTGTCCTTTTAATTTATATAGCTCATTAATTTTTAATGTATTCACAAAGTTGTGCAGCTGTCACTATCTGATGCTAGAACAAACTCACTACCCCAGCATGAAGCCCTGTATTTGTTAACCACTTCTTCTGAGTTCCTCCTTGCTTCAACCCAGGAACCACTGATCTACTTTCAAATCTCTATGAATTTGCCTATTCTTGACATTTCATATAAATTGAATCATACAAGATATGGCCTTTTTTGGATTAAGCATGATATTTTCAAGCTTTATCCATGTTGTAGTATTGTAAATACTTCATTCTTTTTTTTGATCAAATAATTTTTTAATCAAATCAATATATTTTTGCATAGTTCTGAGTTCAAGAATTTTATCTGCAAGACCAAATGGTGGTGACATATTCTTGAATAATTATGTTGCTATTTATATTTATTTGAGGAAACCTAGAGAGACAGCACTTTCCATCTGTTGGCTCATTCCTCAAAATGCCTACAATGGCTGGGGCTAGGCCATGGCCAAAGTTGGGAGTGGAGGACTCAATCCAAATCTTCCTTGTAGGTGGCAGGAACCTAATTTCTTGGATATTCACTGCTAACTCCCAGGGTCCCCATTAGTAGGAATCTGGAATAGGGAATCAAAGCCACGAATCAAACCCAGGTACTCTGATGGGGGAAACAGATGTCTTAACCGGTAGCTAATATTTCCCATGGAAAATATATTCTTCTCTTTGAAGATACTCTCTAGTATCTTCCTACTGCTTTTTGATCATTGTTCATTAGAGACTCACTGGTAGATTTTTAAAGTAATTTATTCTTTAGCATCTTCAAAACTTGCATTCTGAATAAAGGATCTGTTTCCCAGCAATGTTTAAAGGCAGCCAGATTCAAAAACATTTCTCAAAGACTTCAGGGGCTGGTGCTGTAGCATGGTGAATTAAACCACTGAACTAGTTTGAGTCCTGACTGCTTCATTTTCGATCCAGCTCCCTTCTATTGTACCTGGGGAAGCAGCAAAAAATGACCCAAGTCCTTATCCTCCTACACCCACATAGGAGACCTGGATGAAACTCCTGGCTGAGGCCTGGCTTAGCCCCTGCTGTTGAAGCCATTTGGGGAGTGAACCAGTGGATGGAAGATCTCTTTCTCTCTCTCTCTGTAGCTCTGCCTTTCAAATAAATAAATTAACTAATTAAAAAAGAAACTTTTAATGATTGAATGCTCTCACCTTGTCATGCATGTATATTTACCCACAAATGGGACATTTATTAGTTTGCTCATTATTTGTATGAATTACATGTATCATTTTTGTTAAACTATTTCCTAACATAAAGTGGCTGATTTTATTCATATTTGATAGGCAGAAATACTTTTTATGATACTGAAGCAAGTAAGGGGCTGGCCCTATGGTATAGTGGGTAAAGCCGCTGCCTATGGTGCCAGCTCCCATAGGGGTGTCAGTTCACATCCTGGCTGCTTCACTTCTTATCTAACTTCCTGCAAATGTGCCTGGGAAAGCAGCAAAAGATGGCCCAAGTCCATGGATGCCTTTACCTACGCGGGAGACGTGGAAGAAGCTCCTGGCTCCTGGCTTTGGTTGGGCCAGCCCCAATCATTGTAGCCATTTGGGGAGTGAACCAGTGGGTGGAAGATTTTCTTTCTGTCTCTCTGTTTCTGTCTCTCTGTAACTTCTGTAACTCTGCCTTTCAAATAAATAAATCTTTAAAAAAATAGAAGGAAATAAATATTCATATTTTTACAAAGTCTGGAATTTGAGATTACATATTACAGTAAGACACACACACACAGGTCTTTCATTTTAAGGTACATTTTTATAATTAAGATTTTACTCACAGAGCTCTTCTCTGTCAAATGTTTGTCCACTTCCACCAAACAGTCCCTTGAGAAAGCCTCTGTTTTGAGCTTCTGGTGTCTCTATGGGAGTAAACAAATCTCCTAGCATGTCCTGTGCCAAATTCAAAGACAAAAGCATTAGAATAACTAAAAAGAAATGAATAGATAAAAAGGCACATGGTTGTGGTATGTTAGAGCATATCATGAAAAGACAGTCTGCCTTCCATATAATTCCCTGGTGATGTTTGCTTTGCTTAGAGTTTTTTCTCTGGCCTTTCTTTCTCCATTACCTTTTCCTTCCACTCTGTAGTAACTGATATGCTAAAAATTTCCCTTTCTTATCTTTCTTTTCCCCTCTACAATTACGAAGCATGGGAAGCTAATGTAGTTGTTTAGGATTAATTTCTACCTTTGATCAATGACTGCCAATCTAGCTTTCTCACCCTTTTTCAATTACTACAGTCTTGTTCTTATACTGGTTCTTTTCTCTGAACCAAGCATGGACTTTTCTATGAAATAGGAAGCCCATGGTGGTTAAGTGGAAGAAGTTGGATCTATTTTATATTAAGTACAAAATTACAAAATGGTTCAAAATTATTTAAATGAGTCAAAGTACATAGCTACTGAATGATGAGGTGTAATTGTTCTCAATTTTGGTGAGCCTTAAAATGACTGGGTAAGCATCTTGTTAAAAATGTTAATGTTCAGGTCAGATCCCACACATACTAAATCAGAATCTACATAGATCTGCTGCTATCTGTAATTTCATAAGACCTTGCTCTTTCCATTTTTCTAAAGGAAATTAGAATTTAAGAGATATCAGTTGTCCGGCGCTGTGGCTCACTAGGCTAATTCTCCACCTGTGGCGCCGGCACCCCAGGTTCTAGTCCCGGTTGGGGCGCCGGATTCTGTCCCGGTTGTTCCTCTTCTAGTCCAGCTCTCTGCTGTGGCCCGGGAGTGCAGTGAAGGATGGCCCAGGTCCTTGGACCCTGCACCTGCACGGGAGACCAGGAGACACACCTGGCTTCTGGATTCGGATCAGCGCAGCATGAAAAAAGGAAGACCTTTCTCTCTCTGCCTCTCTCTCTCACTGCCTAACTTTGCCTGTCCAAAACAAAAAAAAAAACAAACAAACAAAAAAAACAAAAAACAAAAAACAAAAAAAAAACAACAAAAAAAAACCCAAAAACCATCAGTATGGAGAAAGGAACTTAGATGAAGTCAGGAAATCTGTGACCTAATATTAGTTTGCTTATGAACTTCTGGTGGGACTTTAACTTCATCTTCCCCTATCACCTCTTCCTCCTTAAAGCCCTTATATTTGGAAACAGCAGCAATATCTATTTAGTTCCCCAAGTCAAAACCCCAGTAATAATGATCAATTCCTTCCTTTCCCTCACTCCTAATAATCCCCAAATCCAACTGATTACATTTTACAACTATTGAATCTGCTTACTTATCTCCAGCCTCATTGTTGACCTTCTTTATTCATTTCACTGATATTTTCATTGTTAATAATTTTACAAACCCTCCTAATTATTTTCACACCTTCAGTCTTACTTGCTCAAAACAGGTTGCTGTACTACAATCAAAATAGTGTTTTAATTAAAAAAACTGCTTAAACTTTTCAATGATTTCCTACTGTCCTGAAGATAAACAATAGATTCCTTAAGGAGCTTTACAAGTTATTCCAAGATCTATTCTTCACTATCTCTCTACTCTTTTCATTTCCCAGCTCTGTACTTTTCTGAATTCCAAACATTTTGTATGCCACCACTTTTCATCTGGATTAGCTTTAGCATTTTGATGTCTAGGCCTCCATTTCCCTGGGGAAGTTCTGTTTAACCATTAGAAGTCAGAGGTGCCTGCAATCCTTCTCTACCACCTCACTTCTATTCCAACAACCCAGGAGTCTTCTTATTTGTCTCACTAAATTGAGCATTTCCATAGAGCACTGTGGTTGTCTGTTTACTTATCTCTTTCTCCATATTAGCAAGTAGGGTCTTGTATATTATTATATTTTTAGTACTTAGCCAAGTACAAGACATGTAGTAAAAACTCAATAAATATTTGCTGAAAATAAATTATAAAGATAATACTATTATAATTTGTATTAAAGAAGCTTTCTGTGTTTTTTTTTTTCTTTTTTGACAGGTAGAGTAGACAGTGAGAGAGAGAGAGACAGAGAGAAAGGTCTTCCTTTGCCATTGGTTCACCCTCCAATGGCCGCTGCGGCCGGCGCACTGCGCTGATCCAATGGCAGGAGCTAGGTGCTTCTCCTGGTCTCCCATGGGGTGCAGGGCCCAAGTACTTGGGCCATCCTCCACTGCACTCCCAGGCCACAGCAGAGAGCTGGCCTGGAAGAGGGGCAACCAGGACAGAATCCGGTGCCCCGACCGGGACTAGAACCCAGTGTGCAAGCGCCACAAGGCAGAGGATTAGCCTAGTGAGCCGTGGCGCCGGCGCTTTCTGTGTTTTAGGTGCTGGGTTCAGTGGTTTATATAAATTCTTACTTAATTCTTACTACAGTGTTCCAAGGTAGAGAACATATAGATGGGGATAAGTAAAATGTCCAAAGTCACACAAATGGAGGAGCCAAAATACAAGTCATCTAGGAGGATACTTCACAGATTTCATGGAGGCTTTTTCTTCCAAGATGGCTGACTAGGGTGCAGCCACACTAACTTCAGCTGCTCTGGGATACTAAAAGAACAGAGGAAGAACTATGTTTCCAGAGGTATGACTGATGGAAATTTTTTGGCAAAGAAGTGAAATAACAATGAAGACTCCATGAGACATGAAGAGAGAAAACAGAGACACCGCTGCAGCCAGCTGCATGGCACAGCCAGCTGCTGGCTGCAAGCCATCATCTTCCCATGTCAAGGTGGGAAGAAATTGCTTCATGCCCTGCTGCTCAGAGTTTTAGTTGAGAGGGATTTCCACAGTCATCCACAGACTTATATGTCAGCCTGGGGAGGTGATTGGCGTCTCAGCAACCACCCACCACTGAGCAGGGAAGCTATCTTGCTTCCTTCCCCTCCCTGACTCCTGCAGTGAGCCATACTTGGTAGTGAAAAGTTGGGCAGTCAAGAAGAGACACCATCCTCTTAGAAGTGAAAGGAGTCTGTGGCGATCTGTCACTGCTGATATTGCCTCAGGAAGAACCTTGCGGACTACATTGATTTTGAGTCCGGCATGGAGTGTTAGTGGTGGGCAGAGTGCCCACCTAACCCCATGAAGGGAAAGCACGTTGCCTCCTTCCCACCCCTGCAACAAGGAATCCCAGCAACAAGAAGGGAGAAGGTGCCATCTTGGTAAGGCAAGTGAAGGCAGCTGCAGTTGTGCGTGTGCAATTAGGGGATTTTATCTGAGGGATAATCCCTGGTCCTTACTGACTTTGAGTCTGGCCTGGAGGGTTGGCAGGTGGTGAGGTGCCCACTTAAGCCTGTGAGATCTCCCCTCGCCTTATTCTATCATGGATGACTGTACTCAAAGTGCCATGGTGGAACACCATCAGGCAGCATGTTCTGTGGATGCCTTGGTTTTCTCTGTGAACAGAGCAGGCCCATGAGAATAAATGGGTCCCCTACTCTCTGTGACTTTGGGAGGGCTATCCACTATGACCGTGGGAATTCTGTGACTGCACAGTAGGGGATGGGATATAGCTGGGTCTATGGGCAATCACTGTGCCTGGCTTCAGAGGTTTAGAGTTTCTTGAGTGCTTCGGGTGAGTCATTGTAGAGGGTTCTATGCTTACACTGAGGACCTCACAGATTCTTTGTACAGTTCATGAATCTGTGTGGGTGGGGTGTGTAGCCACTGTGGGCCCACCCAAGGGACCTTGGCAGAGAGGAGGTGAGGCAGTGACCACACTAGCCGATGTGATCATACCCTCCACACTGCTGACAATAGAGGAGATCTATCATACACAACTAGGTGTCACCATGTACTCTCTCTCCCTGACCTCACCCAGCACACATCTCTGAATAACCATCAAAGGGGCAGACACTCCACTAAGCCACAGAGGATTATTTCAAAGATAAAACCTATCAGTGGAGAAAACCAACAAGTGGTTCCACATATTCCTAAAAATAAATGTAGAAATATGAGAAACATGAGTAAGGAAGACAAAATGACTCCCCAAAAAGAATACAACATTTTTGTATTATAATGTAAAGATGAAGATTGAAGAAATGCTGAAAAGGATTTCAAAAGAATGATCATAAGATCAAAAACAATGAGAATCAAATTTATGAGTTAAAGAAATTCATTCATGATGTGTATGAAATATTTTGCCAAGAGATAAAGGTGCTGAAGAGAAATTCATCTGAAATATTAGAAATTAAGAATATCTCAAATAAAAATATAGTGGAAAGCCTTAACAACAAACTTGCTGAGGCAGAATAAAGAATATCTGAGCTTGGCCGGTGCTGCGGCTTACTAGGCTAATCCTCCGCCTTGCAGTGCCAGCACACCGGGTTCTATTCCTGGTCGGGGCACCGGATTCTGTCCTGGTTGCCCCTCTTCCATGCCAGCTCTCTGCTGTGGCCAGGGAGTGCAGTGGAGAATGGCCAAGTACTTGGGCCCTGCGCCCCATGGGAGACCAGGATAAGTACCTGGCTCCTGTCATCAGATCAGCGCGGTGCGCTGGCCGCAGCGCGCCGGCCACAGCGGCCATTGGAGGGTGAACCAACGGCAAAAGGAAGACCTTTCTCTCTGTCTCTCTCACTGTCCACTCTGCCTGTCAAAAAATAAATAAATAAAAAAATAAATAAAAAGAATATCTGAGCTAGAAGACACATTTTTAGAAATATCTAAGACCAAAAAAAAAAATTAGAAAAACTGAAAACAGTGTTCAAGATTTATGGGACACTATCAAATGACCTAACATACAGGTCCTAGGGATTCCTGAAGGTATAGAAAGACAGAATGTATTATAAGGGCTATTCAGTGAAAAATAGCAGAAAACATCCCTAATTTGAAGAAAGAAAGGAATATCCAAGTACAGGAAGCACATAGATGTACTACTATTGTTTGGATTTCTGTTGAACTTTTACTAATTTCTGCCTTCGTATTGTTTTATAATGATGACTATCTTTCTCTGTTTTTTTT